AGATTTCTGAAGAAGGGTCTAGGCCCGAAACGTCAGCCTTCCTGCTCCTCTGATGCTGCTTGGCCTGCTGTGTTCAGGATGCTCCCTGATCTGTGGATGAGATGAATTTGATAGCAGGACACAGCTTTTCAGTACTAGACTTTTTTTTTTGTTTCTGCTTAAGTGGGGATGCCTATAGCTCAATAATTTGATATTCTGATTGATTTCATGAGTTTTGAATTTGGTGTTAGAACCCTCAATGATTTTTGATTATTTTTATTCTTTTATCAATTTTGATTTATGAGCTAGAAATGACTGGTGGACTTTGGACAGCTTGTGGTAAAAGGAGAACAGACCAAATAAGCTCGTAATTAAGGCCATGGGAGGAATCAATCAGTCTATCAAGACGGAACCAGAATAAAAGTTATTTTTTGAACTATGTTTTCTGAGAGATGGTTCTGGGCTGCTACTGAGACAGCATGAAGATTTGAAGGCTCCCTGTCTAATCTGCTATATCAGCTTCTGGAAGCCCAAACAGTAGAAAGCTGAGTTAGCAATTTTGTTGCCTTTGCCTGGGTGAACTGAAAAGGTGACCCTGATCAACGTTTCAGAAAAAGCAGCCAAAGAGTCCATGTTTATGCCTATGAAACAATGCATCATGAAAGTCCTTTAAGTAATTTGGTAATTTTGTTATTTTTTTTATCCCTTAACTGTGTTGGCTTGTCTGTGTTTTCTGTGTGAATGGGGCTGAAAACAAATGTTTCGGGTTTAAAGCACAGACTTTCATCAGTTTGTTCTGTTTAATTTTCTCTCTGCCAGAGTTATTGTGTATGATACAAAACCTGTGTCTGGAAATTAATTATTCACAAAGTCTGGGATTGGTTATTCAAAAGTCTGGTTAGGAACCATTGGAGTGACTATTGTGGAGTCTTCGATGATTTAATTTTTCTTTGTTGTGAATCCAGAGGTGGAAAGGCTGATTTGGGTTTGGCTGTCTGTCTGTCTCTGTGTTGAAATTGTGGGAGCTGCTGATAAAATGCATTCCGAGTTAAATCCCTAAGTCATAGCCAGGTTTGTACAACATTGGGAACTAGCAGATCCTGAGAAGCCCTGACCGAGGTCAGAGAAGGCATTCTGAGAGATCCTGCCCACGATAAAGGCATGTGGGGAGATTCTGCAAGCTCTGTCTTAAGTGGGGCTGCAGGATTTGCAGTTGTTTAGTTGGTTCGCCTCTTCATACAGTTGCTTTTGATTTTCTGCAGGAGCGGATGTGGTCGATTGGCTTTACTCACATGTGCAAGGCTTTAAAGATCGTCGTGAAGCAAGGAAGTACGCCAGCAGCATGCTGAAACATGGCTATCTAAGGCACACAGTGAACAAGATTACCTTCTCCGAGCAGTGTTATTACATCTTTGGTGACCTGTCTACCAGTAAGTTCACTCTGTCTCTCTAACATTTGACAAACCTGGTCTTGGAGAACATTCCGGGGAGAATTAATATCCACTTGGAAAAGCATGATTTAATTAGGGATAGTCAGCATGGCTTTGTCAGGGTGAAGTCATGCCTAACAAATTTATTAGAATTTTTCAAAAATGAGATCAAGTGTGTGGATGAGGGAAGTTCAGATAATGTAGTTTATATGGATTTTAGCAAAGTTTTTGACAGGGTACCAGATGGTAAACTTTGAGAAGTTTAAAGGACATGGAATTCAGGGAAACTTGGCGAGATACATCTGAAACTGGCTTAGCAAAAGGACATAAAGAATAGTGGTAGAAGGCTGTTTGAGTGGACTGGAGGCTGGTGTCTGGCAGTGTACCACAAGGATCAGTACTGGGCCCCTTATTGTTTGTAAATAATCTAGATGAAAATGTGAGGGGAATGTTAAGCAAGTTTGCATGAGACACCGAGATTGGTAGGGTGGTTAATAGTGAAGAAGTTGGTTGTAGATTATATAGATACAGATGGGTTGGTCACCTGGGCAGAATAGTGACAGATAATATTTAACCCTGATAAGTGTGAGGTGATGCACTATGGAAGAAGGATGATTCGTTAAATATGGAGGCTTATGGAGTGGAGTAGAAGGTGAGGCCAAAGTGGGGAAGAGATAGAAGCCCAGTTGCATGAACTGAATCAGATATGGTCAAAACTCCCATCAATCATGGTGGGTGAGACAAAGGAAGACATTTCAGATGCACTGACGGAGAAGATGATATCATCAGATAGATACAATAGAGACAGAGAAACTGGAAGAAAGGAATGAAGTCTTTCCTGGAAACAAGGTGAAAGCAAGCATGGTGGATTTGTGATGAATATTACTTGGTAAAAATTTAACAACGTATAAGCAAATACAGGGACAGCAATAAAGGGAGGGAAAGAAATCTAAAAGAAAGACTTGTGAAGGAGTGGAAGGCGGGATGGATTAAATAGTAAATGTCATGATTGTGCAAAGCAAAATAGTGTAGTAATGGGATAAGTAAAGAAAGAAAGGTTGGTCTGTAAGTTTTCTGGCATCACTGGCTAAACCAGCATTTGTTGCCTACTCCTAATTGTTCTTGAGAAGGTTGTGTTGAGCCACCACTTTGAACTGCTGCAGTCCACATGATGTAGGTTCACTGCAGTGTTGTTGGGAAGGGAATTCCAGAATTTTGACCCAGTGAAAATGAAGGAAAGGTGATACATTTCCGAGTCAGAATAGTCCAGAGGAAAACTTTCTGATAATGGTGGACCCATGAACCTGCTTCACTGGTCTTTCTTGGTGATAGAAGTTGTGGGTTTGAACAGTGTTCTTGAAGGAGCCTTGGTGAGTTCTTGCATTGCATCTTGCATTTGATCCATACAATACATTAGTCAGGGAGGGAGTGAATGTTAAAGGTGACGGATGGGGTGCCAATCAAATGGATTGCTTTGTCCTGAGTGGTGTTGAACTACTTGATTATTGTTGCAGTTGCACCCATTCAAGCAGTGGAAAACATTTCATGCCATTCCTGACTGTGCTTGTAGTCAACCGTCAGGTTTTGGGGAATTGAGAGGTGGGTTATTCACCACAGAATTCCCAGCCTGTGACCTACTCTTGTATACGTGGCTGGTCCAGTTCAGTTTCTGGTCGGTAGTGACCCACCCAGGATGTTGCTGGTGGGGGATTCAGAGAGAATCACGCTGTTGAGTGTCAAGAGCAACAACACAAGCTGGCTGAGACAGTGACAGAAGTTGTTAAGAAATGAAATTATTGAACTCAGTGTTGAGGCTGGAAGGTGCCTAATTGAAGGAATTGTATTTAATTTTTGGTGAACTCTTTCCTTTGCTGGTAGATTTGGCTGGCCTGAGCTTAAATGAAGGCTCCAGTGGAACATCAGAGCAAGACATCCTTGCACCTCTTCCACATCCAAATTGTCCCTGGCCACTGACTCAGGGCTTCCCTTATCAGTATCCACTGCCTCATCCGTATTACTCGTCCACTTGCCAAGATCCTGCTTTGACCTATGGAAATGGCAGCACCGGGAGTCAGCAGAGTGAAGGTATGATTCATTTATAAGGGTCTCACCCTGGTTTGTCTGAGGTGTAATGTGTAGCAGCCAACGCAACTCCCTTCCAGAACCACCAAGATAGTGCTGTTGGGAATTGGGGAAGATGATGGTTAAGTGTGTGGAAAGCAGAATCAAGAGTGGGTGGAATCTGAGGAGGATGTCTTGAGGAAGAGAGTGCAGAGAAAGGGATGGAAGGATGGGTTGTGGGTAGGTTGAGAGGGTGCAGAAAGGAAGGGAATGTTTGGGGAGAGGTTGGGTGCAGAAAGAGAAGTAAGTGATGGGGACGTGAAGGGGAGTGATCAGATGGAGTGCAGGAGCCATACAATTTACTGGAAATGATTTTGTAGCTGAGTGAGATTGTACGATTAATGTAGCTTCTTCAAGAAGATTTAAGAAAATAATTGTCTCCAGAATTCATAAAAGAAAACCTGTCATTCAGCAAGTTTGAGTTTTTGTCCTGAGCACTGGAGTCACCAGTTGACTCTGTCAAAATTTGCAAATAGTTTACTATATAAAGACCAAATTGTTTGTTATATGAAGATCATAATCCCAGCAACTCACTGCGGCAAGAAAGGCAGGTAACTGAAGCCTGACTCATTTGAACATGCTCAGGAAGTAGCAGTGACCCAGCACCCTGGCAGAGTCATCAGAAGAATTTGCATTTCTTTCAAAATAAATGAAATAGATTTACCGATTAACTTTCATCCAATGTTACAGCTACGTTCAGCTGCTTCTCAGAAACCCAGTCATTACTGAACAAAGTAAACAAGCAACTCTAATTGCTCCACTGACTGCAAGATTTATTAGACTTTTCTGTGTCCATGTTACTCCCTCTGCAGCAGTGGGAAAAGAGTGACTATGACATTGTTTAACCATTTTATTACAGGTCTGTTCAACAGTCCAGGCACAGTAAAATGAGCCGGACACCTCTTCACTTGATGTTTTATTATGGTGAAGTTCATAGAGTGAAGTGACTGGTGTCTTGTGTTACCTGCTATGTGTACAGGAAGCAAGAGCAGTGGATCGAATCGGAGCATGGGTGAGAGGAAGGGCTCAGCGGGGAAGGAAAAGGAGCAGAAAGCAGACTCCAAGTCGGTGGGTAATGGAAGTGAGCCAGACCGTACCACTGGGAACAGCGTGCAGTGCGAACGACCAGCAAGCCAGCTCAGTCACCATAGCTACTGCTCTCATGGACCTCCAGGGATTCCTCCTGTTTACCAGCTGCCCACGGTCATGGTAACAAGCGGACCTCCTGGAGCTCCTCCTGTCCGGGATCTAGCAGCAGTCCCTCCCGAGCTGACCGGCAGCCGGCAATCCTTCCAAAAGGCCATGGGTAACCCCTGCGAATTCTTTATTGACATTATGTGACATCACCAGCCTTCTGCACTAAACAACACTAAAGTCTTTGCACAAAACAATGCTTGTGTCTCACTCCTGGTGTCACAGGAACCTCAGGCTTCTGAGTCTAACCATAGTTCTCTTTGTTATCTGTCCTCCATTAATAACAACTTTAAGTGTATTGGTTTTGGTAAATATTGGTGCCAAGGACAGCTTTGTGTAAGTGTATTCCACATTTCAGCGTAATCAGCACCTGATTTTAAAGGGATGTTGAAGACGTTTTGACATAGCTGGATGATTATCCCAGATAAGAATTTCATGTGGTCCTCTCAACATCACTCATCTGCTGTTGTGATGGGTGCATCTTGGTTTTGTCATTGTGGATCATCTAACCCTTTTAGCAAGCACTGTTTTGTTTTACAGAGATGACTGAGCACAAAGGGATGTGATTCCATTCCCAGCTCAGTGACGCACAAGTTGGTAGCCTTTCAAGAATTGTTTTCCCTTGAAGCATTAAGAAAGTTTCAACTGCATCTCCAAACATTCAAACAGCTGTTTCGCTCTGTAGCTTAATCCCCTGAACAACAGGAAGTTGGACACGCTACCTGTGTATACCATGTTTTTGATATGTCTAGTTTGGGCACTTCTGTTCTGGTTGTTGCTGAACAATGTAACTGGATCAATCAAGGTTCCATCGTCAGTCATTTCTGAAAGTTTCACAGTTTGATTGGAACAGCTACTTATACATAATGCTTTCCTTTGGTTCAGTCAGTGTTGAGACCTTTTGCATCTAGCCTGCATTCATAAGGACATGAATTGGATTATGTTTTATTTCCCAGTTTTCACATCTGTAATGGAGATGCTAACTCTCAAGGGAACGCAGGTTTTATGGGCCCCATCTGATCGATAACCATGTGCAAGTGGCCATCATTCACATGCAATAGAGTGTCAGTAGATCATTCAAATGAGATTGCCCTGCTGTCTGCTCTGTGGGACTCCTCGTTCTATGCTGGGTGTCATCTGTCCACTCCTGTTTCTCTCCACCTTCTCTTTTTCTTTACTCTGAGCAGTTCAGAGGCTGGGAATTCTGCAATGAGTAACTGGTGTCCTCACTCCCCAGAGCCCTATTCACCATCTACAAGGCTCAAGTCAGGAATGTGATGGAATGCTTTCGATTTACCTTGATGGGTGTAGCTCTAGTAAAACACTTTAGAAGCTCAAAAACATCCAGGACGATGCAGCCTGTTTGGCGTCCCATCCAATACTTTGAATATTCACGTCCACAAGTGCACAGTAGTAGCGGTGTGCACCATCTACAAGGTACACTGCAGCACCTCACCAAAGGCCCTTCAACGTGGCCTTCCAAACACCCAACTTCTGAGAAGAACAAGGGCAACAGATGCATGGGAACACCAAACTTGCAAGTACCCCTCCAAACCACACACCATGCTTACTTGGAACAACATCACAGTTCCTTAACCATTGCTCAGTCAAAATCCTAGAACTGCGAACAGCACTGTAGGTGTACCTACACCACATGACTGCAGTGCTTCAAGGGTAGTTAAAGTTTATTTTTTAATTCATTCACAGGATGAAGCTATCACTGGCTAGGCTCGCATTTATTGGTCATCCCTAATTGCCCAGGGCAATTAAGAATCAGCCACATTGCTGTGGATCTGGAGTCATATGTAGGCCAAACCAGGTAAAGATGGCAGTTTCCTTCCCTCAAGGTCATTCATGAACCAGATAGGCTTTTCCTCAACAATCGACAATGGATTCATGGTCATTGTTAGACTCTTAATTCCAATTTTTTTTTAAAAAAAATTATTGAATCCAAATTCCACCATCTGCCATGGTAGGGTTCGAACCTAGGTCCCCAGGACATTACCTAGGTCTCTGAATTAACAGTCTATTGATAATATCAGTAGGTCATCACCTCCCCATCCATGGATGAGCAAGAAATGCCATCGATGCCCGCATCCCCTGAAGAATTAAAATTTCAGATTGTGTTTCTGTCGTTTTTGTGAGTCTGTAATTGCAATTAAAATCCATCCCCAGCAAAGTTGACGAGAAAGGCTTCAAAATCTTTCTGCATGGGGCCAGGAGAATTGAAGATGATTTGTGTTGCCCAAGGACCACCCCAATTTTCTGCTACCCCTGTAACCCCTCTCAAATAACTAGCCACACAACAAGCCTGATACTACCTGCCCCACTCTCAGTCTTACCTTAGGTAAAATGTCAGACTTATTCCAGACATGTTATTGCCCTCTGATCCAGACGGGAATATAATGGAATATTCTCCACTGTGCAACATATGCAAGTTTGCCCGAAAGCTGGAACTAAATGTGAACAATAAACTAAAAGAATAGACGTCCAACAGACTGCTGGATGTCTAATGTGAAGTGACAATTTCCTTCCATTTAGAGATTGAAGAAATGGTAGCTTGTGGAGAATCAGATTTGATTCCACCAGAACTAATTGCAATCCTTAGAGCACAGGAATGAGCAGGGCACTGGATTAAGCTAACTAAGCATTGTGTGTGCCTCCATTCTTTAACATACATGAGGAGTATTCCTCAGAACAGAGAGTGAGGACACTGTTATATTTGTGCTGGTACCAAAAATTCCAGGATTCTGCAAGATGCTTTGGAGAGAAGTTAAGCAGCTCACTCAAAAAGGATTTTCAATTGTAGCTTTTCATCAAATATTACTATATCTGGGGCCATCTTGTGGACACTTTGAGGAATAACAGGTGCTGCACAAAGTCAGCTGTGCGCAAAACACACTCTTTGAATGTTGGCACAAGTTGGTCCAGCATTTGGACTGCACTCAGCTGGATTGAAATAATAAAACTAATTGAAATTTACAAGAAAGTTTAAGAATGCTAATCAGAATTATGAGAAAATGTAAAAAGAAATGTACAGTAGGAAATTAAATTTTATTAAATTAATTATTAAAGCTATTCTATAGATTAAACTCGTTGAAAGAAGTTCAGTCCAGACTGCAGATCAATTGGCAGCTGGAGGCTGTCATTGTGTGTAACAGTGTTGTAGATATTGCGTTCTGATTCTGTGTCTCTATAGTTAATATATCGCTGCCTCCATGTAAAAGCTATTTTAAAAACTAAAAAAATTTACATTTCTTCCTGTCTTATTTTATTTATACTTTCCTTTTTACACTTGCCCTGTCTTTGTCAATTTAATTTTGTTTACACTGGCAAGAGCATTTGATTGAAACCCTGAAGATCCAATTTTTTTGAGGCTAGGACCAACCTCATTAACTCAGTGGGTATGGTCCGTGCCATCAACTATCTATCTCACACAGCCATGATGCCACAGATTGTATGAGCTTATATAAATATATAAAAATGAAACGAGGAGTCAAATGAATGTTGGTCTTTTAGAGCAGAGACTTGAGAAATTATAATGAGAAAATGACAGACTTGAAACAAATAGATTTTGTCTCTGTTCATAGTAGAAGACCACAAATTACTTATTAGAAATGGGGAGTACCCAAAGGGCTGATAAGAGTGAGGAACTTAAGGCCTTTAATATCAGCAGAGAAAAAGTATTGGAGAAACCTAAAGGACAAATGGCTGACAAATCCCAAGGATCCAATGGTCTGTATCCTCAAGTTCTCAAAGTGGTAGCTGCAGAGATAGTGGTTGCAACAGATCATTATTTTTCAAACTGTCCTGGGCCTAGAATGGTCTCATTGGTTTGGAAATTAGCAAATGTAACATCTCCATTCAAGAAAGGAGGGAGAGAAAGCAAGGAATTCCAGCCAGTTAGCCAGTGGCTGGAAATAAACTCAAATACGTTACTTAAGAAAAACTTAATGCACGCAGAAAATCATTCTATGATCAGAATCAGCACGGTTTCCTGAATGGGAAATCGTGTTTGAAAATGTATTAGTTTTTTTTGTGAGGATGTAACCTGGATGGTCGATAAAGGAGAGCCATAGATGTAGCATTTTCCAAAAGACGTGCACTAAAGTGCCACAAAATAAAAGGTTAGTAGTCAAGTAAGGACTCATGGTATTCAGATTATTCTGATAACGTGAATGATCATTGGTTAATGAATAAAATGTAGGGATACAGTCTCAGAACAAGGGGTTGATCATTTAGGAGTATGATGAGAAATTTCTGCACTCATAGGGTTGTGAATCTTTGGAATTGTCGACTGAGGGTTGTGGATACACCATTGATTAGTAAATTTAAATCTAAGATAGCCAGAATTTGGTCTTTTTAGGAATTCAGGGGATATGAGGAGTAGGCAGGAAAGTTAAATATAGAATCATACAATCCCTACAGTGTGGAAGCAGGCCATTCAGCCTCCAAACAGCATCCCACCCAGACCCACTCCCTTACTTATCCGTATAACCCTGCATTTCCCGTGGCTAATCCACCCAGCCTATGCATCCCCGGACACTACGGGCAATTTAGCATGGCCAGTCCACCAAACCTGCACATCTTTGGACTGTGGGAGGAAACCCAGGCAGACATGGGGAGAATGTGCAAACTCCACACAGACAGTTGCCCAAGGGTGAAACTGAACCCAGGTCCCTGGTGCTGTGAGGCAGCAGTGCTAGCCACTGAGGCAGAAAGTCACCCATGATCATTGTAAATGGTGGTGGAACTGGTTCCAGGGTTTATTCCTGCTGGTTCCATTGCTTTTATTTCAAGTTACTTATCTCAGATTCCTGACATAAGATTTATCCACAAATCAGCTTTAACAGTTAAGACCATAAAACATAGGAGCAGAAAATAGGCCATTCGGCCCATCGAGTCTGCTCTGCCATTCAATCATAGCTGATAAGTTCCTCAACCCCATTCTCCTGCTTTCTCCCCGTAACCCTTGATCGCATTGATAATCAAGAACCTATCTATCTCAGTCTTAAATGTACTCAATAACCTGGCCTCCACAGCCTTCTGTGGCAGTGAATTCCACAGAATTCCACTCTCTGGCTGAAGGTTTCTCCTTATCTCCGTTCTAAAAGGTCTCCCCTTTACTGTAAGGCTGTGCCCTCGGGTCCTAATCTTTCCTACCAATGGAAACATCTTCCCAACATCCATTCTGTCCAGGTCATTCAGTATTCTGTAAGTTTCAATTAGATCCCCCCTCATCCTTCTAAACTCCAATGAGTATAGTCCCAGAGTCCTCAAACGTTCCTCATATGTTAAGCTTCTCATTCCTGGGACCATTCTCGTGAACCTCCTCTGAACCCGCTCCAGGGCCAGTACATCCTTCCTGAGATATAGAACTTAGAACAGTACAGCACAGTACAGGCCCTTCAGCCCACAATGTTGTGCTGACCTATTATCCTACTAAGATCAATATGGGGCCCAAAATTGCACACAATACTCCAAATGTGGCCTGATCAGGGCCTTATTAAGCCTCAGTAGTACATCCCTCCTTTTATATTCAAGTCCTCTCAAAATAAATGCCAAGAACAGCCCTTACAAAACCTCCAACTCAAATTCACCAGGTAAGAAACAAAATTGCAATAAGATGTTTAGATTTTCAGGATTGAATGGCTGGGGATGTCAGTCATCAGGAAAATGATGTAATTTTTTGTTAAGAAAGTATTAATAATACACTTAGAAAATATAAGTATGATGAAGCAAAGTTACCATGGTTTTAATGGAAAATATCACACACAAAATTTGTTAGCATATTTTAACAATGTAATTAATAGGGTAGATAAAGAGGAACAAGTAAATGCAATACACTTGGATTTCCAAAATACATTTGGTAAAGTGCGCAAGAAAAGGGAGTAACATATTTGAATGAATGGAGGATTAGTTAAAAGACAGGAAAGAAAGTAGGGATAAATTACCAAGGTGGCAGGCTGTAACTAGTGGAGTGCTACAAGGATGTGAGCTGGGACCTAAGCTATTTGAAATCTATATTAATGACTTAGACAAAGAGAACAAGAATAATGCATCTAAATTTGTTGATGAATTAAAGTTAGGTAAGAATGTTAGCCATGAGAAGGATACAAAGAAACTTCAAGGAGATCTAGACAGATTAAAGAATGGGTCATGGTGGCAGATGGAGTAATGTGAGGCAGTGAATGTCATAAGTCTAGAAAAGCAGATTTTTTTCAAATGCCTGAAGCTTCCAAATGTTGATTTTCACAGACTTTGGTGTACTTGTATAAGCAGGACAGGGTGTTAGCAGAACAACAACAGTGTATTGAATATTCTCTGAAGTTTAGATGAATGAGCAGTGAGCTTATTGAAACAAAAGATGCTGAAGGGGCTTTCCATGGTAGGTACTGAGAAGTAATTTCATGCTGAGATGACCTGAAATTTCTTCAGTCAAGGTTGTGAATCTTTGGAAATGCTTACGCCAGAGATTAAGGATATTGCATTATTGAATGTGTTAAGGGTGTTAGGTTTCTCAAGAAGTCAAAAAGTATGTGAAATGGGTGGGAAAGTGGGGTTGAGGCAGGAGATAAGCCATGATTGTGCTGAATGGCAGAACTAGCTCAAGCGGCTGTATAGTCTACTCCTATTTCTTTGGTCATGCAAAAGGATAATGGGACATGGAGGAGTTGCTTTGCATTGACATGCATGCTACATGGTATAGCTGCAAAGTAAAGTTCTGTTACACAGCCCTTTCAAACATTTCCAAGTTAGATGTAGCATGTGTGAAGTAGACAGTAAAGCCCCCAAACACTCTTGTATCAAAATCTCCCAGACCAAGTGCATCATTGGTTAAATATCAAGTAAAGCTTTGGCTACACTTTCGCATCACATCTGTTGGAGGAAGTGTGCAGGTCAAACTCGGACACTTCTGTAGCTTTGGCTGTTTGGTTTGAATATTATTTGCATTGTAAACTAATGTCACTGTATTGTCATCCTGTTTGTTAATATAACCTTCACGCTTACTGATATGCGCATAACCTAGAATGTAATTGCATTCTGTAAGCTTTCTGGACTTGGATATGTCATGCACCATATATAATTGGAAATAAATTGCTCACAAGTCTAATAGGATATTCCAGTAGTCCAGTTAACATTCGTGAGAGTAAACTTTGCTCTTGTGCTAATGCAACGAGTCTTCTGCCATAACTAGTAAAGTTTATATTAAGCTGGGATTTCATTAACTTGTTCTTTAAGTTGGAAGTTGGGGAGAAAATAAACAACATATCATGATAGAATAGCTAGAATCCAAATCCTTCTGGACTTCAATGCATGCCTGTTGACACCAGTCTCAGGTTGGAGATTAATTACTCAGCTGCTGATTTTTATGTTAGTGAAGACAGAACATTCTTTAGTCTATGATAACAATACCAGTCTATTACACAGTGACCTGACAAACGTGCAATTGATGTGAGGACCTGACTAACTGCTTGGGTACACTGTCTAACAGACCACACTCTCTGATCTCCATTTTTCCTAAATTTATTTGTAATACACAGAGATTGACAAATATTATCTTGATTTACCCATTGAATGTTAAATGGTGATTTACAGTGAGCTCCCGTGGGTCAGAAATAAAGTCAGCTTTGAATCCAAGTCCCATAGGTAAGGGTCCATGTTATAGTTCACCTTCCATCCCCTAAGGAAGTGCATGCTTTTCTCCAGTTCTGAAGTATCTAAGATTTGCTAAGACTTTGAGACTAATTTGCAATGTGCCTTCAAAAATGTTATTTAATAGGCTGGGTAAGATTTGTGAGAAAGCTTAGAATGACACTGAGTTCAACTCATTGAAGTTTTCAGGTGGGTTATTGGACTAAAAATGGTGTAGATGGGTATGGGGGCTAAAGTGGGTGAGGATGAACCTAGGTTTAGTGGGAATGAACTAGTCGAAGCTGGCTGATAGAATGCTGGGCACAGCAACATTAAAGTGGGTAGGTTTATGCATGAGACATTAGCAGGATTGGGGCTGGGCTTGCGACTGGGTTGTCAGGGTTGACATTAGCAGGTTTCAGGATTTGATGTTGACAGAGATTTGGGCTGGGGACAAGTTGGCACAATTGAGATTGATGAGGTTTTGATTTCTTAACCAGACTGAGACAGTGTTCTTAAAATTGGATTGCAGAATCAGCAGGTTGATGCTGCTGGCATCATAGCACATATGCAGGTGTAGGGTTTTGACGGTAGGTTTAGCTGTTCAACTCTGGTTTAAAGAG